CTGCCCACGTCGAGCCCGCCGGGGGAGACCAGGCGCTTCTCGGCGCCGAAGCCCGACACGGCCAGCGACGCCCGGTGGCCCAGCGGACTGCCGCGCTTCTCGGCGCCGCCGGCGTAGAAACTGAGCGCGTCCTGCTCGGTCGGCGGCGTGGCCTGGGGCTGCTGCGGCTGCGGCGGCTCGAGGACCGGCGCGCTGACCGACTTGAGCGGCGAAGGCTCGGCGGCGGCGAGAGTGTCGAGCGGGTCGGCGCTGCCGGCAGCGTCGCTCGCGGCCAGGGCGTTGGGGCGGGCGATGTCGTTGCCGCTGCCGCTACCGCTCCGGCTGCCTGTCCGCGAGACGCCTCCGCTCGCTCGGCTGCCGCTCGACCGACTTCCATTAAACTTCATCGCACCTCCAAAGCTGCGCGCACACACAACACGACACACGACACACGACACGGCGTCAGACCCAACACGACACGACACAACACACGACACGACACGACACGACACGACACGACACGGCACGGCACGACACGACACGACACGACACACGCACGCTTCGGTGAATTTGGCAAAGTCCTTGGAGAACTCGTCTGAGTTGAGGTTGACCGTGCGCCGCTTGAGCACGTTGGCCGACTGGGCGTCCATCGAGAGCCGGCGCGATCGGCGCTCCTCCTTCTTCTCCTCCTTCTCCCGCTCCCGCTTCTCCCGCTTCTCCCTCTCGCGCTCCTCCTTCTCCCGCCGCTCCCGTTCCTTCTCGGCCCGCCGCCGCTCCTTTTCAGACAGGGCTGCTGACGTGGCCTCCGGCGTCATTGCGACTGGCGCGGGCGGCGGCTGCGGCTTGGAGGCGGCCAATAGGGCCAGGGTCGAGGCCGACAGGGTGACGCTCTCGGCCGGCACCTGCCCAGAGATGATGTCCAGGATCTGCTGCTCGACGCCCGAGATCTCCTTCTCGACGGCCTGAAAGAGTAAAGAATGTGCAAAAGTCACACATTCCAGGGATGGATGAGGAATGTGAGTCACACATAGCTTGAAGAAGGCGTGCGTGGATGAAATATTTCAGTTGACGTACCGATTTGATTTCACGCAGCTGGACGAGGAGGGCTTTGAGGTCGTGCAGCGTGCCACCCTCCTCCTTGCGTCGCGCGGAGAGGAGGGTCGGCGTGTGCGGCGGCGAGCTGCTGTGTCCGCCGCCCTCGTCCTCCTTCTGCTGATGCAGCTCCTTCTCCCGCTCCCTCTCGCGCTCCTTCTTTTCCTCCTTCTCCTTCTGCTTGTCGTGCCCGCCACGCAGCGTGCTCATAATCGTCGTCGCCCGCTTGCCTGTGTGCATCGCGTAGCGTGACGTCAACACCCATTATTCATAAATTACAATTAATGCCAATAAATATAATGCCAAAAAAACGCGCACGATTCCTGCTCAAGAGAAAAGCGTGTAGCGGCTTGGGCGGTACCAGCAGCGCCTGCGAAGCCGAGGCCGCCCTTCTTCTTGATCGGCGAGGGCTCGGCGCGTTCGGTGATGACCGGCGACACGCTGGGCGACGAGGACGCGCTCTTGGCCCCGCCGGCCGGCGGCCGGGCGGGGGGCGGGAAGGCGGCCAGGAACGCGGCCAGGGCCGCCCCGGCGTCCGCGTCGCTGCCCAGGGCGGTGGCCAGGGCCGCCGAGTACTTGTGGAGGCCCGCGTGGAGCGCGTCGGTCGCGGCGAGTGCGGCGGCGGGCGCCACAATCTCGCCATCGGACACGGTGACGTCAGCAGCAGCCTGTTCGCCCTCGGGCACGGTCTGATGATGAGGTGGTGAGGAATGATGGAATGTGAGACATGATTCCACATTCTTGTGGTTTGGAATGTGAGCAATAAGTGTGGTTGGAATGCGCGTACGGCGACGGCGCGGAAGAAGGCGACGACGTCGCTCTGGTGGGCGTCCAAGAAAGGGTTCATGTCGCGCATGTACGCTTCGCTGGTCTTGTCGGAGAAGGAGAGGCCGTTGGCGATCATCTGGAGCACCTTCGACACCAACACGAACGCGCGCATCGCCTCCGGCTTTGGCTGCTCAGCTGTACGTTCCACCCACACAGTTTGTGAGCCACCGCACACGCGAACATTCCGTGCATTCCATGCGTGTGTTGTGTGCGTTGCGTGCGTACCGGCGACGCCAAAGCCGAAGGGCGAGAAGATGGCGGAGCAGAAAAAGCGGAGGAAGATGAAGCCGCCCACGATGGAGTAGCTGACAGTGATCTGCTTGTTGTCGGGGAACCGCGACGTCGCCGCCTCCTGCAGGTGCGCGAAGATGCGACGAATGAACCTGCGCGCGTGTGTGCGCCATGTGTGTGCGTGTAAGCCACCATATGCGCGTGTTGTGTCGTGTGTGTGTCGTGTGTTGGGTGCGTGTCGTGTCGTGTGCCTGGCGTGTGCGTACGTGGGGCAGGAGTCGACTGAGGACAAGATGGCGACAAGGAAGGCCTCGCACAGGGCGTAGAGGTTGGTCACATTCGCCGCCGCCTCGTCCGGAGAGCTCGCCCTATCACCCAACCATCACACATGAGCGACTGCGTGTCGTGTGTCACGGCGCGTGTCGTGTCGTGTCGTGTGTCACGGTGCGTGTCGTGTGTCGTGTGCGGCACCTCTCGGGGTCGATCTCGACGGCGGGCGTGTCGCGGCACACGCGGGCGATGGTGGGTCCGATGGCGTTCTTGAGGTAGGGCGTCCCGCAGATGCGCAGACACGCCGACAGCATCTTGCTCCCGTTCGTATTGCTCCGGAACAGCGTCGTCGGATCCTCTGCTCCCACGACACGACACGCGTTGGCACACGACACGACACTCGCGACACCGCACGCAACACGCGGTGCGTACCGGTGTCGGTGATCTCAGAAAAGACGAGGGCGTTGAGGAGTCGGAGGAGCAGCGGGTGGTTGGGGTCCTGCGGCTCGGCGGCCACAAAGTACTCCACCGCCGCCCGCGTGATCCTAATCCCCCGCCACCACCACACGCGCGCGCACACACACACAAATGGCCGATTGAGCGCGTGTCGTGTCGTGTCGTGTCGTGTCGTGTTGCATGTCGTGTCGTGTGTCGCGTACTTGTCCATGTCGCCGAACTCGAGGGCGGAGAGGAGGGCCAT